AATATATATTTGAGCAAATTATGTACGGACACTATTGGTGGGGGAGGGCTCAATTATCAAATGGGATCTCATTTGTCCGAAATTATGAGCACCACCCTCTGCCCGCCCTACAACGGCCATTTTTTTTTCCATACTTGCCATCCTGTCCGGCAATGCAAATACCAGAAGGGGGCATCATGTTTATACTTGAAATTGCGGGTAAAGGATTTCACCCTTGCATTGGTTTCGGATGCAAACAAATCGATGAGTTGATAGAGTATGGGTCCCGTCAAATTATGTTCCGAGGGAGAATCGGGTCCTAAGACTTTATCTCTCTTTGACTGCCGACAAAGTCGGCTTCTCTCCTATCTTAACTTTGGGATTCAACAAAGAAATCTTTCAAAAGGCGGTTTGAGGTAAAATGAAGTTTTTAAGAAAATAGATTTAGAAAGAGAATAAGAGAAGAGAACTACAAAATAAGCAACTAAACTAAGGAGATATAGGTAAACATGGGTAAAGAATTTGACTTTGAAATGCAAGAAGAATAAGAAAGTAAAAAGCATGGACGTTACAAAGTATAAGCTACTATCTAAATTAAGCATGCAGAACGTAAAATAAAAGAGAGAGACAAGATTAAAGAAAAGAGAGCGTGAACATGAATATGAAAGGAGAAGAGATCCCTATTAACAAGACAAAGGGATATGAATACAAAGTAAGAATATAAATAGGAATATAACATGGGATAGAACAAACATGAGAAAAAAAGGGGGTTAAAACTAATATTAGTGGATATCATGCAAAGAGAGTAATAAAACTAAGTATCTCGAAGTCTCTTCCGTTAGCCCTAAACTTCTCAATGAGTTACGTAGGAAAATAACTTAAGTTGTTGACTTCCCTAGCATAAAACCAAATTGGTTTTTTGATACACTCATTTCATACCTTAATCGTTGATTAATCACTCTTCCCACCTAAAGTATTTCTTATTTTTATCCTCTTCAAAGCTTCTTTCACTTCTGATATCATAATCTTACAAATCTACATATGACCTTCCACCTCATTTATGTCAACGGTTCATTCCATCGCTATGTTTGTCATTTAATAATTTTTAAAAATAAACTCTCCACCTTTCATTGACTTTTCAATCATTTACGTAGGAAAATAACTTAAGTTGTTGACTTCCTTAGCATAAAACCAAATTAGTTTTTTGATACACTCATTTCACATCTTAATCATTGATTAATCATTCTCCCCCACTTAAAATATTTCCTATTTTTATTCTCTTCGAAGCTTCTTTCACTTCTGATAACATAATCATGCAAATCTACATATGACCTTCCACGTCATTTTTGTCAATGGATCCTTCTATCGCTATGAACTATTATATTTGTCATTTAATCATTTTTAAAAATAAAATGTCCACCTTTCATTGACTTCTTTATTCTTTTTGGGTAAGTTTAAAAGTGGCAAGTCTGTAGGGATTTGGGTCCAGACCCTTTGGTGAAAATGGACTTAAAGACCTCATCATGTGGCTCAGTAATATTACCGCTAAGGCCTCAAGTCATTATCAACCTCTTTATCCTTCACCAAGACCCTTTAATCTTTGCTTTTAACATTTAATATGGTTTAGATCCCTATATTTTACCTCTATCATTTTTCGCTAATTTGGAGACATTTTTTTCACCTTTTCTTTTTCCTAGTTTATTGCATAGATTATTATATACTTTAAATTTAACCTTACTTGCAATTTGTTTAGCATTTTTCTTAGTATTTTTATATTATTCTAAGTTTTGCTCATTTTAATTATATTGCTAAGTTTAATAACATGGTCATTTTTTGGTAATAGCTTTTTGAACTTCATCTCTCCACCACCAAGTTTCTAAATCAGAATTTCTTTTTCCTTTGGTTTTTCGGTTTCTCCTAAACTGTTTTGCCACATTCTTAATACAGTTAGTCATCTCACTCCACATAATATTGATCTCATATTCAAAGTTTTATTTTGTTTATTTAATTAATTTGTCCCTAAATAATTCTATTTTCTTATTTTTCTGTATTCCACCATGTAGTTCTTGGACACCTATTAATTTCACCCCTTCTCATCCATGTCTGTATGCAGATGTCCATGACTACGAGTCTGTGTTCAGTAACAAACTCTCTCCAGGGATAACCTTACAATCGTTTAATAATGGTCAATTTACCTTCTTAACTACGAAGAAATCTATCTAGCTTATGTGATCCATATTATAGGTTTTTAAATGTTCATCTTGCTTTTTAAATTAAGTGTTTGCTATTGCTAGGTTGTAGGCCACAACAAAATCTAGAATAGCCCCACCCATCTCATTTCTTTCACCAAACCAGTATCCTCCATGATACCTCTTCATATCCTCTATTATCCTTACCTACATATCTATTTAAATCCTTTCCTAAAAAGGTCATCTCTCCATTTGGCGTGTCTTGGAATATTCCATCCATATCCTCCCAAAATTGTCTCTTAATTCTATCATATAGTCTTCCTTGTGGTGTATAACACTAATTACATTAATTATCTCTTCCCATAATACAAGTTTAATTAATAGGAGCCTATCACCTACTCTCTTGATATTAACTACTTTATCTTTTACATCTTTGTCTACTATTATGCCGATGTTATTTCTATTATCATCCTTTCATGTTTATTAAAGTTTATACTCTTCTAGTTCCGTAGATTTTTTCTCTTTCCACTTAGTTTCTTGTAGATAAGCCATGTTTACTCTCATTCGTCTCATTGTACTCACTAACTCCGTACTCTTCTTACCTATAAGCGTTTCTATATTTCATGCTAGACGAATCCTATTATCTTGGACTTGCTTCTTTACTTGCACTCATCCACAATGTTGCGGGAACCCTTGTCTATTTTTCATTGCAATGGGGGTGGCACTGCGGCATGTCGCTTTTAAGGAATACTGTACCTAACCGTTGCTCATTTCTAATTATACCCGGATTTCAATACAATGCGCTGCTAACGAGGAACGTCCTAGCACAAACAAGTATTATAGACTCAGGATTCATAGAAAGGTTTTGGCATTTGCTGACTGCCTAATACAAATCACCTCCTTTACCCAGACTAGTTTAAAGCCCTCATAAGGGTGAATGTGACCTCTCCATACAAAAAGTGCACGGTCTTATAATATATCTTACAAAAAATAACAATTTATCAAAATACCCATGAGTGATGAATTATTTAACATTCTACCCAATTATCACTATTCCAACTAAAGATCATGCATATTTTTATGGATATTTTGAAATTAAAAGAAAAGATATGGGTAAGACATTAAATTGTTCATCTCTTGTAGGTAACTTTATAAATTTCTCCAATAACAAGAACAAGAGGACGTCTCTGTAGAATTGAACTATCTTGGTCCACTTTAAATTAGAAAAACTATAGAGCCCTTGGGGTATACTTTCTTGGCATGTCCACCACCAACACTTTTCAAATCACACCAACAAACCCAATCTTATATATTATTTCATCCTACCCCTGAGGAAGAAAATAGTTTTTTGAAATGAAGATACCCTCAATATATTTAAGATAATTTCTCTCTAAAAACTTGAAATTTGGAAATTTAGAAAAAGAAACTATCTCAAATTTTTAAAGAGAGAAACTATATCAAATTTTAAGTTTTAGTAAGACAAATTATCTCAAAATTTTTAGGGAGAGAAACTATCTCAAACTTTTTAGATAGAAAAATTTCCCAAAACTTTAATTTTTAGAAAGAAAAAATTACCCAAAATTTTAATTTTTAGAAAGTAAAATATCTCAAAATATTTAAAAGAGAAAACCTATTTCAAAAATTTTAGGTAGAGCAATTATATCAAAATTTAAATTTTTAGATAGAGAAGTTATGTTAAAATTTTTAGTGAGAAGTTATGTTAAAATTTTTAGTGAGAAATTATATCAAATTTCAAGTTTTAGAGCGAAAAAGTATTCCAAAATTCTTAGAAAAACTATCTTAAAATTGAAATTTTAGAGATAGAGAATGTATCAAATTTTAGCATTTATATATGGGGGTATTTTAGTTCTATAAAAGCTTCTAGGGGTACATATAAAAATGGAAAATTTTTATGTAAGGTTTCAATCCTATACTATCAAAATATAGTGTACCTTAAAAATCCAATAGAAAAGAGTGTTTCGAAGTTAGAAAAAACTTCCAATTGATCAACTCAATCTCAAAATATATGAATATAAAGAAAAATAAGGAACATCAAGTCTTAAAAATGATACAATTGTAACAAGTTTTCTGGATCGTCTATTTTGAAGATTTTTAAATGCTTTTAGATTTCATCATTTTTAAAATTTTGAATTTTATAAATATTGTTGAATAATAGAATTTGAAGCCAACATAAGGTTTGCAGCACCAAAACTTTATCTCCCAGAAAAATTTGTATAGCATAAGGTAGGTACTTTATATAAACCTTACCATACAAAAATAAATAGTATTGATGATAATGATGCCAAAGAATACTGGGGGAGAATGCCAAGAAATTATAGTCTAAAGGGGTTTCTATCATTTTCCTGGAGCTTTATTCGCCGTTCCAAACCATGACTTGAGGACAAGACTCGGTCCATGACTAAGCCAAAAAAACTCGGGCCAAGTTCGAGTTAATCGGTCTGAGTAAGGAAAGCTAAAAAGTTAAATTAAAAAATATAAAAAAAATACAAAAATAGGAAAAATGTGTTCAAAGTATAACTAAACAAAACACATCTTAATGAGGTTAAAAAAAAGTAAGAACTAGATTTTTGAAAAAATTAATTTGTGACGGGAGGTATTGTCGAAACAATTTTAAAAAAAAAATCAATTTGTGACGGGAGGTATTGTAGAAATAATTTAAAACGAAGAAACAGAATGTAAAAATAAATATCTAACACCTTCGATCTTTGCCAAACTGATTGAAAGCACATAAAAAATATATAACACAAATTCTTTACTATTAAACTTATATAAATTTATTATTATTTTTTTAAGATCACTAGTCGGTGGCGCGCTCGGGTTACGTACCCGCCGGAGTTTCCGAAGTGATTCCCATAGACAGAACGCATCAAAGCACCCTCATTTGGGGGGAAACCAACGGCACACTGTAAAGGATAAACCAGTCAGGGAAGAGAGAGAGTCCATTTGGGCGGGAACCAACGGCACTTATAAACCAGTAAGGGAAGAGAGAAGAGAGAGGAAAGCTTTTTTGGGGAAATTTTGGCAATGGGAAGCGATTTACGGGCGCCGAAAGTTGGTGTTGCAGCGTTTGTAGTGAGAGAAAAGTCAGTATTGATAGGGAAGAGACTCTCCTCTACTGGAAACTCCACCTATGCCCTTCCTGGTGGCCATCTCGAGTTTGGTAAGATAGAGAAAACAAACCCTACTTTGTTTCTTTCTCTCTCCATTAAGAAGTGTTTTTTTGTTCTGTATTACCTTTTGGGGTTGCAAGATTTAGGGCAACTACTTCTGAAAATTCTGGGGTTTTGCTTAGTGAATGAATTAATCTTGATAATTTTTGCAAAGACCTCAGATAAATTATAGAAGTACTATTCCAAAAAAGATTCTTCAAAACAATGGATAAAATTACTGTGAATTTGTTTTTCTGGTTAATATTGCCAGTTTTTGGCATTTTGGTCATTTTCATGTAAGGATGCATGATATAATCAATTTTGGTAGACACAATTGGAGATTACAGTAAAAGATCACTCTTGGTAATTTTAGTTTTCTAAAACGCTTATACTCTCCAATACATAGGACTAATGCTCACTGAGGATATGTATACCTTTTTTTTTGGGTGAGGTTCATATAAGGCGTCAACCTTGAACAATCACAGTAAATTTCACCTCTAAATCTTGTTTAAAGTTGTAGTTCCAGTGCCTGAAACCCTTATGATGGCCTAAATTTTTTTCTCATGCCTATTATTAAATTTAAAGCTTTAAAAATGATACAGATCTTTCAGATCATAAACACTCGAAAATCTTGAAAATTGATGGTCTATAGAATGTGTTACCTTGGAATTGTTTTTTCCTTTTTATGTAAATACATATCAAGGTTGAGATGACCATTTTGAGAGTTTTCTGATGAAAAAACAACCTTTTACGTTGGGTTTTTGAGGTGCACCTTACTTCTGTAGAAAGCTGGCACTTTATATAAACCCTTTCCTTGTTTTTTTTCTTAGTCCTTTATTGTGTTATTTGCGACAGGGGAAACATGGGAGGAATGTGCAACAAGAGAAGTGAAAGAAGAAACTGGTCTAGACGTCAAAAAAATTGAATTTGTAACAGTCACCAACAATATTTTAAAAAGTGAGACAACACCTAAGCATTATGTGACAATCTTTATGCGTTGTGTTCTCGCTGATCCTCAACAAATTCCTCAGAATTTAGAACCTGATAAATGTGCTGGATGGGAGTGGTATGAATGGGAAAACCTCCCAAAACCCCTTTTCCAACCTCTGGAAACCCTGTTTGAGAGTGGGTTCACTCCATTTACTTAGAAGTCTACTGTTGAAAGTGGGTTTACTCCATTTCTCTAAGCCTATTGTTTCTATGTCAACAATTCAGAAGGTTGACCCTGTTACCTTTTTGTGGTCATGGTTTTTTTTCCTGTCCTCTTCTTTGCATTTTGATTTTGCAGGGGAATATGTAATTGTACTGAGTTGATGGCTTAGACTCCTAAAATGTCCACGCACATGCCTCCTATTCTGCACTTCTTACGCATCGTGGAGGTGGGATATCTTCTGTTACTTTTCTTGTCTTTTGCCAAGGGGATAGGTAATGTTAGTAAATAGTGGGTGGCCCCTTAAAAATGTGTTCTCACTTGTCTGCTGGTAAACAATTGAATATACTTTATATTTACTAGAAGTGTAGTGCATTAACAATTTTGGTCAGTCCTTGCTTGTGATGATGGATAAAATGGGTATGAATTGATCTTTGTGGGAATTATTGTGGTAATTTGTAGATGTAGTGAACTTCATTTTAAAGCTAGCTCAATCACTGGGACCTTTGATCAATGCAGGCTAATGTCTACACAGAATAGTTTTCTATTACGCCGGGAATGAATACAACTGTATTAAGACATGGAAATTCTTTTAGCAGATTAGCCTTTTCTCTCTCTGTTATGTTTGACTATTATTGGAAAATATGGAGTTCCAATATGAGCTTAAAGCCTCACATAGCTGAGGAGATCAGAAATTCCTCTCTACGTCATGTTTTAATATGTACTATCGAGGAACCGAGAATCAGTCATTTACCATCCTTAAAGAACTTGGAGTCCATTCAACACTTGTCTATCATGAATAACCTTGGAGGTTTCCTAATCAATTAATATGTTTTCAATTAGTTTTAGGTATTCCATACTAGTTTCCTTAAGAGTATATGTAACCAAAGTCCCTCCCTTTCCTGGCATACTCAGGTGACGGCCCTCCAACTCCAGGGTTATCTTTATTATTTAGCATAATAATTGATGCTAAAGAAGCACTTTAGTTCCCCTATTATGTGATATTCATGTTTTGTTCCCCTATTATCTGATATTCATGTTTTGTCAATCTAGCCTTTGCTTTTCATATGATCAATTGCAAAGCTCTAAAGGATGGTACGAATCCAACTTACTAATTGATGCTAAAGAAGCACCCTATTATGTGATCTTCGTGTTTTGTCAATCCCTAGCCTTTGCTTTTCATATGATCAATTGCAAAGCTCTAAAAGGATGGTACGAATCCAACTTACCGCATATTGTCCATGTAATCTTGATTGCAAGAAGGGTCAAAACAACAAAAAAGAAAGAATAGAGTTTCTTTGTTAAGGAATGCATTGGATGTTGTCCAAGCTTCCGCTGCACTGGTCAAGAAAGTATAAGAGGCTGCAAACTTGACCTGCCCTACACCATCTGAAGTTATTTCTTATGTATACATTTCTCACTGATCTTTGACAACATACAGTATTATCAAACATGCGATTTGATCCGAGTCCTACTGTTGTCTAAATGTCTAATTTTCCATGATTGCAAATAATAATTCTCGTTATATCCGGTGGTAGTAACGACTAAAGTGGGCCATATATGTGAGGCTCTTCTAGGAAGAGAACATAATACTTGAGTTTGTCAATGCTTCCATTCCACCAGTTAAAGCTAAATTATCCCAACACGTCAATGCTATTAAATAGTTTTTGATGTCTTGGCTATTCGACTATATTGAATGTCTTGTCTACATGAATCTTATTGTTATGACCATTCCAAGGAAATATGGGATTATGGAAAAAGCTTTGTTCTCTCAAGGTTATAAAACTAGTGTGTATCAACGCAAACAAGAAATTTCTGCACTTAAGCAAGGGAAGGAATCTATAACTGAAGTATAGAAACTTCTTTGGAAAAAAGTGTTTTACCATCTTACAAATTTGACTTTTTTCTTATTTTGTTAGAAATATCATCCATCTAAACAAATCCTCCTGTAGCAAATCCAGTGGTTATCTTACCTTGAATCCTTACAGCTGTTGGACCAAAGAAATGATGGTCCATCCTAAGTATCATGTATTAGTTTTTCGATCAACATCTTTGGATGCTTTCAGTTATGTTGAAGTATGACCATGTAGATCTCTCCAATCACACTTACCGAAGTTCCTGGTCTCTGTGTCTGAAAACAAAACTCCAGTAGGTTTCCTTGCCTTGGCAATCATATGGGTTAGTTCCTTGTCACCTTAATTGCTCTCCTCTACAGGTAAAAATCCCATATCTCATAGTCAATTATTTAACAAGAAAAATAATCCCTCATCTCATGTTGATACCCACGATGTTTTGTTGTTCATATAGAAGTCTCTAAGCGCTTTTATGTGTCATTGTAATTTTTTTCATGCTCTGTATCTTGAAAGAAATCTTCTTTAACAAGTTCATATGATTTTTTAATAGTTTTCTGTGTTCTTATCTTTTTTCTGGACTTCAAGATGGATCACGATTGGTTCAGGTAGAGATAATTGCGTTGCACCTTCTACGCGAGTCATGAGATTGCACACAAACACAAACAACATACATGCACAAACACAGAGCCCACACAAACATCTCTACGTGAGCTATGGTATTTCCCACCCTAAACACTATCAAAACAGTGGGTGTGTGGTGGTTAGGGGAGGACTAGACCTATCACTTGGTTCGTGTGGAAAAAATAGAGAATCAAAATTGTCACCTCTGCTAATAGGGCATTTGAGTGGTCAAGCAAATTTGTAGGCTTTTATATTTACCATGCCAATACAATGGCGCCTTTATTATATCTGTTATGCTGGAATAGAAAAGGATCTCTCTCTGCTGTGGGCGCACCCTCGAGGATTGGTATGATCTATACCATGAAATATTGTGGTTCACAGACAGTAAACTACATTTTGCCCCAAAATCCCTGGTCAACCATAATCAACTCAGGTGAATTCTTCATCTTCTCCGTGTCTGCTTTGACATACATATAGCTGAGGTGAAGTATACAATTGTAAATTACATGGGTTATTATTTTGAGATAACAAGGTATTTTTCAATGCAGCAAAATACAACATTTCATGCATCAATTGCCATATACGATCATTTCTTATTATCGCATGATTACCTCCACCTTGATTTTAAAAAAGGGGTTTGTGATTCTGAACCAAATTAGCCTCTGAAAACCGGATCAAATGATGATGACATTTAGATGACTTGAATTCTAGATGGTGGGATTTAAATCCTCTGGGTTAAAAACCCACCATGTTTTGTCTTAATCAAAAAAGCATTTAATGTAACCTCCTTTCGTACGTGGCAGGGTTATTTACCGCATGAAGTTAGACCATTTTTAAAAAGGGTGTGGTTTCTATAATGTAACAACCTTAAACAATCCAATAAGGCGCACCTCCAAATTCTATCATAACATGTAATATTGGTGTAAAAAATTATTAGGGTTATCTAAAAATCTATTTTCATATCTAATTATAAACTTTTAAACTCCAGAAATGGTTAAAATCAAATAGATCTATAAACAAGATTCAAAATCTTAATTTTTTTTTTCATATTTATATATCTCGATATCGAGATGATCAATTAGAGGGTTTTTCAACGTGTCTTGTTTTTTTTTTTTATATTCATACATCTTGATATCGAGATGATCAATTGGAGGGTTTTCCAACATTAGAACACCCTTTCTCGATGAATTTTTGAGGTGCATGCTTAATTCTACATTTTAAGGATACAATCTTATGTAAGCCTTTTCCGTGTAACATTGTGTTTTCAAACAACAAAGGAATTTTCAGTTTGTTTAGGTATTTATCCAACTCAAGAGATGACATATGAGAAATTCCTAGTCCCACATTACTTAGAAAAAGCTTCTATGTGTCTTTGTAAGAGGGAAATTTCCTTCGAATTGAAAGACGAGCTTTCTATGGGCTGTCAATTTGTATTCGTGCTAACACATTGCACGTGCATGGGGCTAGCTGACAGGCCAAGCAAGGCCGTGGATGTGGTTGAGCTTCGGGTTTACAAGTGAGACCTTTTGATCATGGTTTAGGAGGAAGTTGGACTTCTCATCTCGGTTAACTCTTACATGCCTATTTAGAGCCTTGCATGGAAGTCTCAGATTTTTGGCTATGGTCTTGGCTTTTAATGGGGGTTTCGCCTCCAATTTCTTCCAAAAACTTTGCCTAGTGCCCTACATGTGTCCCTTTTTATGTAGATACATGATTGATATGTATCCTTCATTGTTTCACTAGACAATGGGTTTTGGCAATAGTTATCCAATATATTATTAGAGAGTGAAATTTAAGAAAAATTATATACTGAGATCATTTACTTTTGATGCAAGGAGGTCATAATAATCACTAACTATTAAATTTGAAATCAAGTGGTTGATGATGTATCATCGTTTAGGCACAAAATCCAAAACAAATTTTTCAGAATGTTGTGAAACACTTTCATTTAATTAGATTTCACATCCAATGGATAAAAATGATTGTGATGTCATTGTCTAAATAGTCACATAGTATACAATCCCGAAATTTTAGGAAAAAGTTTATATAGAGCTGAGGCTCTAAACAATTAAATTAGAGCCCACCTCAAAAATTTCACTAGAAGAGGCTGTTTTAATGCCCAAATATCCTCAAATTGATCATCTCAACATCAAGATGCATGGACATGACAAAAAAATGGATTTCAAGTTTTGGAAATAGTACATCTTGTAACGTATTTTTGGACCGTCAATTTTCAAGATTTCCAAGTTTCATAGATCTACACTTTTTTTTGGGTGATTCCGTGGGGAAACGGCCCCTACCCTTGGTAAGAATTAAGCTTGGGACATATCATTGCACATCTTCAAGCACTAATCAGTTAGGCTTGATCTACGATATTTTTTAATCTTTAAATTTTATAATTAAAGATGAAAATATATTTTAAGGCTATCACAAAGATTTCCATTATTGAAACCACATTTCTGGATACTATTGGAACATGCGCTTTACTTTGATTGTTCAAGCCTTGGCTTTACCTAAAATTTTATTGTTCTTTCTCCCATGGCTTTACCTAACAGGGACAATTGACTTTTTACAGATGCTAATAGAAAAACCTCTAGAACTTGACATTCTTTTTTCCATCCAAGCTTCCTCTAATTGGCACCCAATCAAAACATAACCCAAGCATGTCATTTCTAGGGTACAGAAAGAAAAGAAATTGCTCTTCATAAGATTTCTAAGTGCAGAACTTAAAAATGCCTGAATGATTTACCACCCTTGGTGGTATCCTAGGGGTGTTCTTGTCATGAACTAATTACATTAGAGATTCTCCAAGTTGGGGGCTTTTAAGCACCTCGTTGATGAGTATCACTTGCCTATGTCCAATCATTGAAGCAAAGGGTTGATTGATTAATGGTGAAGTCTGAGTTTCCTCCTTTGA